CTTTGACCTCACTTTCTGAAATTAGTGTTCAGTTTTAAAGAAACTATTCAAGCTATTTCAATCAAACCTAACATGGTTATACATTTTAGTTAGGGCTGTCACGGGTAACCGAAATGACCAAGAACCGCGGAACAATTAATTCGGGTCGGGTTCGGTTCTGTTTTTCCGGAATTCGGTTCAGTTCCGATTTGTACAATAGAGTAGGTTTTACCATAAAAATGGCGTCTAAAACGAAAGGTTTGTTTGTGGAAATATTTCTATTACCATTATTATGTGGTTTGAATCATTTGGTTCATTTATTTTTCTAGTCAGGAAACTACTTTAAACTAGTCATTATGTTGCTGTTTGTTAGATATTTTACAAATTTTTTTTTTTGTTGAATATAATTCAAATCATGAGTTTTTATTCCATATGTATACCCAAACCGAAAAACCCGAAATCCAACCTAAAAAATTTAGAACCGACCCGAAAGATTATGGAACCGTGACAGCCCTAATATAAGTGAAAGCTATTCAAATGCATCAACATTTTAGACTTTAACTATTCCTTTTCACCTTGACTTCAAATCTGTGTTTAGCTTAATTTCAAACAAACTATTCAAGATGTTTTTTTTATCAAACCTTATTTGTTAATGCAGTTTGGTGAGAGCTATTCAAATGCATCAACATTTTATTCCCCCCCCCCCTTGAAAAAGGGAGGGCATATTGCTTTGCTGCTGTCGGTCAGTCGGTCTGTCTGTTGGTCCACCAACAGTTTCTGTTCATTTTCTTGGCAGAGGTTGCACATACTGAAATGAAATTTGGTATACAGATTAATCATAAGAATATCTAGGTCAAGTTTTGTTTTGGGTATGATCAATCAATTTTTGACAGAGTTATGCCCCTTGGACTTAGAAAAATTCCAATTATTTCCAGTTTCCGTTCACTTTCATTGCAGATGTTGCACATACTGAAATGAAATTTGGTATACAGATTTATCATAAAAATATCTAGGTCAAGTTCTGTTTTTGGTAACATCGAGCAATTTTTGACAAAGTTATGCCCCTTTGACTGATAAAAATTCCAATTATTGGGGGGGGGGGGGGGGGCATAAGTGTTTCACAAACATCTCTTGTTGATTTTGACTTTTCCTTTTTACCTTGACTTTAAATTTGTGTTTAGCTTAATTTCAAAGATTTTTTTTCAAGGTGTTTTTATCAATTTTTTTTTTTATTATTAAATCTAGTTAGAACTATTGAAGTTCATCAACATTTTTTGACCTTGATCTTTCCTTAGACCTTGACTTCACTATTCTTAAAGAATGAGTGGACTTAACTGGCCAGAAAAAAAATGCCGTAAGTTTCATAAAATGTTTATTTCTTTCCATCATATAAATACCCGATATCTTATCCGTGTATTCATGGTACAGATGTGAATTTAAAACGCTCTTTTTGAGGTAAACTAAAAAAATATCGAAGGCATGGTGCTTGAAGATTTCTTAAATATCAATAGATAATCAGGGTGACACGTTTTTCATCGTCTGAATACATAGTCAGCTCATGTTTGTCGGCTGTTCTTAAGAAATCTGTAGTTGTATATTGAACAAAGTAATGTCATATTAAAAGGAGAAGAGCCGACAAACGTACGCTCACAAAAAACATGTTCAAAACAAACTTCTCATTTCCATTGTTATGACTGAGTTAACCTTGATTTGACTTCGATTGACCTGTTAAATATTACAATTCATCACGTGATGTCCATCTGCGAGTGTACTCGTGAAAACAGTTGCATTGTATTCTTCAACTTGACCTCGATCTAAATCATGTCTTTGAGCGTGTTTGGTTGCCGTTTTCAGAATTTAGCAAATTAAATGTTGTTTTAATTTTGCGTGTCCACACATTTTTTTTTAAATTTCATATAGACATCGCTGCAATATGCCATACACATATTCAAATTTCTAGAGAGAGAGAGATGTCAACAATGACGTCGATCGATAGCCCCGCCTCCTATTAATATTGATGACATGACCTAAAAACCACTCCGGGTACATGCCAAACTCCAGAAGATGACACTAATGTATCCTTGCTTCAATTTTGATTCATGGGAACAGGGCATTGCTTTTGTACAAATGTTCTACCTAATATAGCCATGTATACGTAACTCTTTCTATTGCTTATAATATATTTTGGATTCACTCCATTTACAGCTTGGTAGAGTAGTCGCAAAAAGATCCAAAATAGGGCATTAAGTCCACCCATTCTTTGTGTTTAGCTAAAGTTCAAAGAAACTATACAAGATATTTTTATCAGACTTCATATGCTGATACATATTGATGAGAGCTATTCAACTGCATCAAGATTTTTTTATACCCCTGCTCCAAAGGAGAGGGGGGTATACTGTTTTTACCCTTGTGTGTGTGTGTGTCTCTGTCCGTCCCTAACAAATGTTTATCACAGGTTTCTCAGCAACTACTCATAGCAGAGGCTTGAAATTTTAGCACACACTTTGTTGAGGCATGCTATATGGTGGGATTCATTTTTGTACGAATCTGATGTCAACTTCCTGTTTATCCATGCATCTGTACGTACCATACATAACAAATTTTCGGTGCAGTTTTCTCAGCAACTACTCATTACAGAGGCTTGGAATTTTAGTACACTATTTGTTTGGGCATGCCATATGGTTGGATTCATTTTTGTACAAATCCAATGTCAACTTTATTTTTATCCGTGAGTCTGTCCATACTATACATAAAAAATTTTCGTCACAGTTTTCTCAGCAATTACTCATTGCAGATGCATGAAATTATAGCACTGTGTTTGTTTAGGCATGCCATGTGGTGGGATTTATTTTTGTACGAATCTGATGTCAACTTCCTGTTTATCTGTGCCTCTGTCCATACTATACCTATAAAAATTTTCATTGCAGTTTTCTCAGCAATTACTCATTGCAGATGCATGAAATTTTAGCACAGTTTGTTTAGGCATGCTATATGGTGAGATTTGTTATTGTTTGAATCCGATGTCAACTTCTTGTTTATCTGTGTGTCTGTCTGTACAGTAAATAACAAATATTCATCGCAGTTTTCTCAGTAACTACACATTGCAGATGCTTGAAATTTTAGCACACTCTTTGTTAGGGCATGCAATATGGTGGGATTCATTTTTATAGGAATCTGATGTCAACTTCCTGTTCATCCCTGTGTCTATCCGTAACTGAACTTGTGTACATTCACATCAGGGTATATATTCACATCAAAGCGGTGGTATTACTAGTGAGCATTGACTCACAGACTTCTTGTTTGACCTTGACTTTTCCTATGACCTTGCTTTAATTAAATTATTGATTATCTCAATTTCAAAGAAACTTTTCAAGATTTTTTATTATTTTGTAAGCTTATGCACTGATAATTATTTGGAGAGAATTTATCAACTGTGTCCAATATTTTTTTTTACCTTGACCTTATCAATTACTTTTGACTTTCTTATTTACCATGTCAACAGAATTTTTAGCGGGGATTTAATTTTGACATTATTAGTGTAAGTGATGAGATTGCTAAAATTAATTATTGCTTACGATTCATTCCATATCAGTGATAATAGCTATCTTTCTTCTCATAAAGTCGCTAAATTTGCTTATTGCTAAAATATAGACTGCTAAATTTGCCTTTTGCTAAAAATTCCATTTGTATGGTATTGTGTATAAAAATTAGTTTTAAAGAAACTATTCAAGATAGTTTCATCAAACATCATACATTAATACAAATTTTCATGTTGCATTATTAATGAACCTTAAATTGGACTGCACATTCATGTCCTATGGACATATTTCTAGTTTTTTAAAATAAAAATTCAAATAATATCAGTAAATGCTATGTTGAAAAGATGCATTAAGTCATTAGAGGGAGATATCTCCAGAGAAAAGTCAAGGTCATAAATGAGGACACATTCTACTCTCTCATACTATAGTAATAAATGGGAATTACGTCTAAATATACTGAGTATTCAACCCCTACATATCTGTTTTGTATTAAATTTCATTGAATCTGAGGCTATTAGGGATGGAATACCTTTATCATTAAGTAGATGTAAAATAGCACCAATTATATGGAAAGCCAACAGGATTGAACAATTGACAATTTCTGAAATTATGATTTACAATCTACAAATTAAGGTTTACATGATTGTGTATATTTTCAGAATTACAGAGTTGGAATTCTTGAATTCATTGGCCTTCCATATAATTGCCTTGCACAGTGATTCATGAACATTGCAGTTAATTCATTCTCACTAATTAACTTGCTTTCAAATTTAACATTTAACATTTAAAAGGGCATAAACACAGATTTGAAGTTAATATTTTCTCAGATTTCCCTATTATATCATGACATATATGCTGCTATAGCATATAATAAAAAACTTATTTTATCTGAAAATTATTGAAACTACTAATTTCGGGACACATTTGATCGACACATCCTGTGTTAATTTTACACAAATTTGTTATTTCACACAAGCATGATTTATTTTACTGAATCATTATGAGATTTTAAAATTTGATATAAATATAAATATATAAATATAAATTTGATAAATTAATAGAGCTAAAAATTTTCGCATTGATAGGGCTTCTTTATTGGATTGTTATATATGTGGTAAATATCAAATGACCGAAAGCTAATTTGATGGTCATAACTAACATCAAACAAGGTATATACACAGGGACTAGTAGCTAAATGTCAATCAATTTCAAGCACCCAAAGATGGACCATAATTCACATGATTGACGGGGGTATACAGACCAGGTAAATTTTGAGAGTGATGCTAATTATCTCGGGCTTTAAGTTTAAAACTTTAGGTCCAGACCCTTTTGAAAACATCATGGTATCAACTTGTATAAATCTCTTCCCCAATTTTAACCTAAGTTGTTGGTCTCCAGTCTTGACTTTGTTTTGTATATAAATTTACTAGTTAATAATATTGGTTCATTTCATCATTTTTTTCTGAACACATTTAATTGCAGGAATGAACACTTGGCCTGTGTTAAAGGGAAATATTCAAGGACAAATAAGCCAACTGAACTTGAAGACGTACCAAAATGCTGAAATCCTCTGTTAAATGTGACAATCTTCCTGTCCCCGGCTGTCCAGTGTTCTCTGAAATAGTGACCAAATTCTTAGGGACCAGGTTAAAGGAAACATTATCACAGGAATCATTTTCTCCCTTCCTCTGCTCTTAGGAGTTCAGTCCAATGACATGATTGCAATACTTGATTCTAAGTTCCTAATTTAATCTTATTTATGGAATTCAAATGTTTGTTTAATAACCTTTACTATAGACTTATACCAGTATTTACAAAATTACAATACTTTTTTCTTTAATTTGACCAAGATTGTCAGAAAATTGTGTTCTAACAGTTTGCTTCTTTTCATCATTGGACAAAAGTCCAGTTCAGGTAGATATTTAACAAGTATAATTATTGCTTCCCTTTATATGAGATGGGCATTTGTTTGTTATACATACAAATGAGAAATATTTTTTTATTGCTTTATAGATTATATATCAATTGATTTAATTTCATTCCTGATCATGTAAATATTACCATTAAATTAACTGTTTTAGTTACTGTGAACAAGAGCAGGTGATGACGATTGTGAAATACAGAGCACCCCACCAAGCCTACCATTGTGTTTCACCCTCAGACATCTTAAATTTCCACTAAAACAGTGCTATAATGTGTGATCTAATAATTCATAAATGCTCAATATTTTAATGTACTTAATATTACACTGTCATTACCTTTTTTTAAATACAGCAAAATATTCTATAATGGGAAATAAATTTAGAAATTTGAGTAAGCAGTGGTGGTATAAAGCTTACTGTTTCTGAAATGTTGCATTGAATGAAATGTATGTTCTGTAAAATACTTTGATATTTTAAATGTGTATATTGTATCAATTTTGTTTTAACTATGAACAATCTTCATCATTGTCTTTCTGATTTAGTATTGAAGGCAGAATGTATCATAAGATCTTTTGTCATTTCAAGACTGTATGTTCAAAAGTAGTTGTCTGACAAATGTATAAAAAAAAAAGTTTTTGTGTCACCTGCAGTGCAGAGTGACTTTTAGGGATCACTTTAGCTGAATCTGTCTGTCTGTCCCTCCATCTGTCACACCCTATATCTTGAGAATTGTAAGAGCTATGGATTTGATATTTTGCGATATATTGCCTAGCACTTTGGCTTTTGTAAAATACCATGATTATCGACCTTGTGACCCTTAAACTTGACTTTTGACCTACTTTTCAAAAAAATTATTGTGCCGATATACAGCATATTTTTGACATTTAAGAGGTAAGTCTGTGCTATTTAACATGTGCACTGTTTGCCATAAAACATCATGGAAAATACCAGCATTACAGTCCAAATGACCTTTTTACGTACTTTACAAAAATACTCTGGACTAAATCACGTTTATGAGCTCATGACACTGTACCTTGAAACATTACTTGTACAGTTACCACTCAAACTGAAATTTTTAATACATGTACAATGAAATAACATAACATTAGGATCTTTATACCAACAGGATTGTTGTAGACTCACAATTGCAGACAAGATAGACTTAAAATCTCTTTTGGATGATAGTTGGATTAAAAATGTATGAACAAAATAAAAATCATCATTCATTTTAGCTTTGAGGGTTGGGGAATCATTTCTATTTGATTGTCAGATCTTATATGATAAAAGCAATTCTTTGGATCTTACTATCAGTGGATTTTTTTTCTTTGCAGGCAAATGCCTGAACTATAATGCTGGAGCAAATGAATAACTGACCACTTTTAGATTTAATTTAATCTTTAATGATGCTATAAAGCAGGTGACTCATGCACTCCTTGAAACACTCTAGATCTTCATGCTACTGAATACAAAATCTTGCTGTACAGTTTATGGAATAAATTTGAGATAATATGGTTTTTTGGTTAAATTTTTATGACTTTAGACAGTGTTTACAGTAGAGTATATTATTCAGTATATGATTTTTAGTTTCACTGGTTGGAAGCAAAAAAGGTAAATAAAGGCTTTGTAAAAGATCCTTTATCCAACCATTACTACAATATCTGTAAATAAATTTCTAAAATGCAACTTCTTTACATTTTGCTTGTGATGAAACTTGCTACAAATGTGGACTCTAAATAATTTTAGGTCAAAATAATGGGTATCAGGCAATAAAATCAATATAAGCAGTTGGTAGATCAATAGGGTATCATTAATAGCTACTTGATCAACGTAATGGATATCATTAGCTACTTGATCAACATAATGGGTGTCTTTAGCTGGTTGATCAACGTAATGGGTATCATTAACTGGATTGAACAATGCAATGGGTATCATTAGCTGCTTGATCAATATCATTAGCTGCTTGATCAATGTAATGGGTATCATTAGCTGGTTGGTCAAGGATATGGGTATCAGCTGGTTGATCAATGTAATGGATATCTTAGCTGGTTGATCAACATAATGGGTATCATTAGCTGGTTGATCAATGTAATGGATTTCTAGTTGATCAGTGCAATGGGTATCATTAGCTGGTTGATCAACGTAATGGGAATCATAAGCTGGTTGATCAACGTAATTGGTATCATAAGCTGGCTGTATTGATCAATGTAATGGATTTCATTTGCTAGTTGATCAATGCAATGGGTATCATTAACTGGATTGAACAATGCAATGGGTATCATTAGCTGCTTGATCAATATCATTAGCTGCTTGATCAATGTAATGGGTATCATTAGCTGGTTGGTCAAGGATATGGGTATCAGCTGGTTGATCAATGTAATGGATATCTTAGCTGGTTGATCAACGTAATGGGTATCATAAGCTGGCTGTATTGATCAATGTAATGGATTTCATTTGGTGGTTGATCTATGTAATGGATTTTATTTGCTGGTTGATCAACGTTATGGGTATCATTAGCTGGTTGATCAATGTAATGGATTTCATTTGCTGGTTAATCAAAGTAATGGGTATCTTTAGCTGGTTGATCAATGTAATGGGTATCATTAGCTGGTTGATCAATGTAATGGATTTCATTTGCTGGTTGATCAATGTAATGGATTTCATTTGCTGGTTGATCAATGGGTATCATTAGCTAGTTGATCAATGTAATGGATTTCATTTGCTGGTTGATCAAAGTAATGGGTATCTTTAGCTGGTTGATCAACGTAATGGGTATCATAAGCTGGCTGTATTGATCAATGTAATGGATTTCATTTGCTGTTTGATCGATGTAATGGGTATCATCACCTGCGGCTTATCCTAACAATAATGTCCTAATCGATCAATTCTAGATGTCTTGCGAAAATAAGATGTTACGTGGAGGGGTTATATTCCAGGAGGTCCAAGGTCATTTTTAGTCACTTTACTAAGTACATTAAATACTCCACAATTCTATGGGACGGACCCCCCCCCCCCCTCTAGATCTAGATCACATGGCGTTCATTATGAAAAGATAAGGACAATTAAGTAGAATAAATGTTTCACTCAGAAATCATAATATGATACTGCGGCGACTTAGTGGCCGTTAGCTTAAAGGGGCCTGGATGCGGAACTTTGTATTATTTACAATTTTTAATGTCTGTTTTTATTCAAAAAATAACTTCATTTGAATGATTTGAACTTACATGTATATGAATATTCTAAGAATTAAATGACAATGATATTCTTCCTAACATTACGTCAAACACCTGTGTTTGTAAGCAGGGTACGAGCTCTGTTATTGTTAGTGTTTACGTTTTACCGGGTGTGTTCAATTTGTTTAGTCTGCCCACATCACTGAGCACGGTCTGACAATAATGGTGAGTTGGTTTAGCTTTCTCGCATTTCTACTCTGAACTTTCTGGATTATAGTTTTCATATCATTTATTAATACACAACAAAATTTACTTTTCTTAAGTATTATGGATAAAGTTTACTTTGTGAAAGTGCAAGTGTATGTGTCAATCAAACGCGTCCTAAAATCGTAGTTTCAATAATTTCCCGATAAAAGAATTCTGTTAAAACTTTCAATATATTTCGGTGTGAAATGCTCTAGCAACATATAAGTCCTGATATTATATAGAAAATTTTAAGAAATAGGAGCTTCAGATCTGTGTCCAAGCCCCTTTAATGTAACGTAATAAATTTTACATTTCTTGAGTTGACAAATCGCAAGTCTACAAACTACAATATCGTGCATTGACATAGTTTTCTTGTACATTTTGCACAGGAAAGTTTTACAAGTTATGACAGTACAATTTGCAAAAAGAAAAAAGAAAAAAAAAAAAAATCAATTGCAAACAAAAAAAACCCCAAATTTACAATCTATACAAATTAAGGTTTACATGTACATTCATCGTCGCAAACCAAGGCCAAAATGTACGATCCTCTCCCATTCTGGCCGTGGTTGAATGAGAAGAGAATATTTCGCAGCTCATTAAAAAATTGACTAATGCGAGTAAAGCATAGTCGGATAATGAACTTTGACGCGACCTTTCAATACCCAATCGCATTATACGAAACATTTCTTGTATACTGTTGATGTCAGTTGTTGATTTCAATTGCGATGGAAACAAATATTGTCATTGGCTAAACATGACGTCACAACTTAGAGGCGTAAATATTCAAGATTACGACACTTTTGTGATCAAGCAGCCACGGGTATCTAGCGTTAATTCAGATAATGGCTGTTTTTGCGCGCTATCTAGCGTCAATTCATTGAATGACTGTTTTGCATCGGTGATCGTTCGTTTTGCAACGGAATCGAGTCTATTGCATGGTTTTATTTTAACAGCTGTTTAAGCTGTTGGTTTTGCATCGGTGATCGTTCGTTTGTAACGGAGTCTGTTGATTTTGCATTTCTGTTGATTTTTAGGTCACATGAGTCACTCAGGTGACCTATTGCTATCTCTTTTTGTCCGTTCGTCGTCCGTCGATCGTAACTTTTTGAACATTTTCAGCTTCTTCTCTGGAACCACTAAACCAATTCAATTTTGGCATATAGCATTTATGGATGAAGGGGAACAAAAATTGTGAAATTCATGGCCCCTGCCCCCCCCCCCTCCCGGGGCCTGAGGGGTGGGGCTAAAACCATCAAAATTAATGCAATCCTTAGAAATCTTCTTCTTTACTCCTGAACATCAAGAAATCAAACTATTGGCATGAATGTAATAAGCGTTGAGTCCTCTAATAAAATTGTTAAATTAATAGCCCCAGAGTCAGGGATTCTGGTGCTAGGGTGGGTCTCTATTGAATATATAGTGAAAATGCCTTATTTATTAAAAAAAAATCTTCTCCTATGCTCCTGGGTATTAAGCGAACGAACTAAATGCATAGTTATGATGAGGAAGGGTGCCTCTTCCGTGAATTTCATGGCCCCTGGGTCAGGGGTTCTGTTGTTAGGGCGGGGCTCTGTTGGTTGTATATTGAAAATGCATTAATTCTTTAAAAAACTTCTCCTCTGCTCCTGTGTATTAAGTAAATGAACTAAACGCATAGTTATGATGAGCAAGGGTTCCTCTTTCAAAATTGTGAATTTCATGGACCCTGAGTCAGGGGTTCTGTTGTTAGGCCGGGTTCTAATGGTTATACTAGTATAGTGAAAATGCATTAATTTTTTGAAAATCTTCTCCTCTGCTTCTGGGTATTAAGCTGATGAAACAAGTGCATAGTTATGATGAGCAAGAGTGCCTCTTCCAAAATTGTGAATTTCATGGCCCCAGGGTCAGGGGTTCGGGGGGGGGGGCACTATTGATTATATAGTGAAAATGCATTAATTCTTTGAAAATCTTCTTCTCTGCTCCTGCGTATTAAGCAAACAAATTTTAAAAATGCAATAATATAAATGCATAAATATAAATAAATGTGCCTCTTCTCTGTTCCTGGGTATCAAGGAGGCAAACAGAGTTCAAAATTGTATTAAGTGAAGTAAATGAGAGTTACTCCCCTTTGCTGAATTGTATTAATTAAGAAATCCTTGCATATAATTTAATTTAAAGGTTATTTGATTGATTGAGGATACAAGAAAGAATATTATATTTATAGAAACAAAATAAAAATGAATGTTTGGTTTTAGTGATCAAAGCATGCTCAAAGTCGGATTCTTGCCTGTAAAGCAGTATAAAAGATTGACATAAAGAATATTTATGTAGCAAATAAGCCAATTGAAAACAGTATGGGTATATTATGGTGTACTGATTTCTTGTCATGTAAGACTATAGTTGGTAAATGCCTGTTCAAAGTTTCTTTGTACTTTATCAGTAACCAAATGATCACAGAGAGCCAGGATGATAAGAGGACATGTAGTTTGTGACAAGTGGCAAATAGCCATGTTGTATAGCCTAGTGGTGAGTGCTGGTAACAAGTCATATTCCCAAGTCAAGGGTTTCTGATCCACTCCGCTTCATATAAACCCTTGACTGACCCTTGCATGAGCCAATCAAAATTTTTTTTTTACCTGAAACTAGATTGCAAATAGAAAAAACACGCCAGTTTTAGTCCCAACGAAAACGTCATTACCATTATATAACTCAGTTAAAGGCATGTCTCAGCTTTTTAGTTGAATTTATATTGAATTTATTACCGACTTCCAATATTGTCTCGCATTCTCTGTTTCATTCGCTTACTCTGATTGGTCAATAATAGAGGTCAGTTGTGTTCAAAATGTGTAATCTCACTAGACGGCGCAATAGTAAACCCCGTCAAACTTAGCCTATTCGGTCAAGGGTTTATGTGAGCGGAGTGGGTCAGAAACCCTTGACTTGAGAAGATGGTAACAAGTATTACCAAGTTGTTTGTATACCCAAGAGGCAAGAGTTGGTACCAAGTGGCAAGCAGCTGAGTTGTTTGTGTAGCCAAGAGGCATCACCTCGAGTAAATAAACAAGCATTAGAGATTTCTCTTTGTGTACTTCATTGTAGCACTAGGCAAGTGACAAAAAACATATCTATATAATTTAAATACCTTACACACTAGGCAAGTGTCCATTGTATTTGTATATTTTGCATTCATTATATATCATCCTTGTAAGACTTGGGCAAACCAAGTACGATCCCAAAGGGATCGCTCAGGTATCGCATGTTACAATAAGCAACTAAGGATACTTTTAC